TCTTACCTGCCCAGCGTTGTGATTGAACTCTCTAACAACATACCAGAAGACATTGACACCAATGTAGAAAATGTCCGCTCTGCCATCCTCAAATGGAAAAGGACCAATGGCAGCAGATAACTACATTCATTTGCATACCTTGTTTACATAGCAACCATAGTTGCCTAGCGATGTAGATGTAGTGTGAGCTCCACCATTGCCACCGGTAGTGAAATGTCGTTTTTGGAGTACTATCTTCTACTGTGTTCCTTGTTTGTTGTCTTCAGTACTAAACTCAAACACAAAGTTTAAAATCCACAATAATTAGCAGCAATAATTTGTAATATGATCCACTTAAAAATAATTTTCCTGAAATTGAGTGCAATTTTTTTTTTATTCCGATGATATGACAAAGCTTTGGTACTCAGGGACATTCAAAATTCATGTAAAAAAGCATGTTGAAATTGACTCAATGCAATGACTGTGACACTTTAAGAAGCATATCCTGTCAATTTGCATAATTCAAAGCAATATTATTGTTTTGTATTTTTTAATGCAAAATGATCATTATTGCAATTACATTTTTTAAGTGATTGTTTTGATTCGGTTTGTGGGTAAAATTATCATAAATAGGAATATTTATATTTTTTCTTTTAATACTACAGATCTGTTTTTTGTCAGTGGCTGAGCATGTGATAGCAGGACTTGTGATTACTTTTATGTTTTGTGGATGGGTTTGATCTTTAACCCAAAAGCTTCAAAAACAACCATTGAATCTCTTCACAAAATACTTGTAAGTGTGATTTTTTCCAAATTTTTTTGAAACTTTTGATCTAGGCCTGTAGCCTATGAGGAATTTTACCCATTTGCTCCAAAATCAACTCAAATTATAAAGAAGAACACATAAAATTTGGCAAAATGTAACACCAAAATTGTTGACTGGAAAAATTATAGCATTCAAGGGGTTAAAGTTCAGAATCACCAAATTTTGTGCTCAAAATCCCACCAAATTTTCAGTTTTTTTTTTTTTAATCTGCATTGGCGATGTGCTTTTTTTTTGAGCAAGTCAAATTGAATTTGTAGCATAATTCTCAAAACTAAACTCATTGCAGGATTTACCACTGACCTACTACTGGTATATACCACTACAGTACATTTAACATGTTGTTAGTCCCCCAAAATCTTGTGGTCTTGTGAATCATTTTAAAAAACAGAACATTTGTGAAGGAGTGAATGCCACTTTTGTTTTTATCCAATGAAGAAAAAACCTATAAATAATTGAAAATTTCAGCCCATGTACAGAAACCTGTTTTTTCATATCAATTCATGAAGGGACTTTTCAAATTATGTACCTCACTAAGTATTACATCATGTGATTAATTATTCATGAAGATATTCGATTCAGACAGCAAACGAATAAATAAAAACTATAATGGTGACAGACATATTTATAATTCCTGTAGTGTTCAAATAATTTGTCAAGCTTTGTTCAGGCTTCATTGTGATTCACAACAAATTAGTGAAAATCAAGGCAATGTAACGTGGCTGGGTTTTTTATCGCCTGTACTCGTCCTCATTTATTATCTTTTTCACATGTAGTCACGTTCTATGATAACATCAGTTCTATCTTTAGGAAGATCTTGGAATAGTCACTAATGCTATTGTCTTTCATTCAATGGTAGAGTTTATTGATTCATGAGTGATTGATTAATTTGTGGTTAATTATAACATGTATAAAAGTCAAACCAGTTGACAATTATAAGACATACAAATTCATGTTTCTTATCATCTAAAAATTGTTTTTGTTTTTTGTCAGATTTTTTATTTTGAAAAAGTGAAAAGATAAATTGATTTTTTTCATAAACAATCAAAACAAAATCACAATTTTTATGATGGTTCGAAAATACAAAAAAATTACCTTCATGCATGTGTTATGTTTACAAAACGAATCAATGAAATCTGGCTATATAATAATTTCTGTATATTGTGAACATGTTTTAATTCTTTAAGACAAATTCTCGCCATGTGAGATTTTAATGGATTCTCCAGTCTTTGACATACTTCATCTACAACTCCCTGATTAAAGAATTAACATTTTAATTGAATAAGTTATCAATGATGAAGACTATTATCAGACATCAAGGATCTGATGGACTGAAGAAAATGAATTTCTGCTTAATCGGTGCTGCAGTGGAGGAAATAAATACGAACAGACATATCAGTTAGAAACTTGAATAGCTATTGGTTGAATTATCCTTACAACATGATAGGTTTATCTTTGTGAACCATTAATTTTAAATTACATAAATGTATATTCAATATATCCCATAAATCATGAACTTTAATTTACAAGAGTACTTTTGTGGACTCTTCCACCCCTACCATGTAAAATATAATGGCACAGTCCAGGTATATGCAACTTAAGTAATGTACATGTATGACTTGCAGATATGAACGCTTTTGCTTCATCCTCCATGCAATTTAATAGTACGGTCTAGGCATACTGTAAAACACATAATTGCTACATGCCACTTCGGCTCAGTGCACATGTTGTCTTATGCATGACCCCTAAGGGTCACACATCCTGGCACTTATGCATGACCTCTAAGGGTCACGCATCCTTGGTACTTTATGCATGACTCCTGATGGTCACATATCCTGGTACTTTATGCATGACTCCTGATGGTCACACATACTGGTACTTTATGCATGACCCCTAAGGGTCACACATCCTGGTACTTTATGCATGACCCCTAAGGGTCACACATCCTGGTACTTTATACATGACCCCTAAGGGTCACACATCCTGATACTTTATGCATGACCTCTAAGGCTGCAACTTTAAGTGTAGCTAGCATACTGTGCTACATTTTATCACAGTTCCTCTAGATAGAGGGACTGTGATTTTATGATTGTCAATGTCAACCAAAGTGCCAAAAAACTTGGAACAATGATGTTTTGCTCAATTTAATAAGTAATAATCTGGAAATAATGAAAATCCTGGGTAGCCTTATTGGCTGAAATGTATTGCAAACTTAAAATGACGTGGTATAATGTTGTGTCAACTTGTAGATCTATTTCTATAATGTCTGGTTGTGTTCCAGTAACACTTTTGATAAATTGCCATGAAGTACGTAGACCAAAGTTTCCCTAAAAACTGTAATTGACGATTCTTATTAAAGTTATTGCATCA